TCTCCACTGTGCTACTGGGTGAGAGCGTATGGCAAGCCGTTTTAGCATTTAAACCTTGTTCAGACTATCCATAAATATATTTAGAGATATCTCTAATTATATTTTGACTTGTCATAATTATAATTCGACTAGTCAGATTGGAAATATCTGCAAATATATTATGATAGACTAGTCATATTCCTCCATTGACTTCCATTGAAAAATATTTGCAGATATCTCTAAATAAGTTTTGACTAGTCACAATTGTAATTAGAGATATCTCCAAATGAATTTTGACTAGTCAAAAATCCAATTCAAGATATCTACAACTGTAATTAGACTTTTAGTAAATTAATTAGAGATATCTTCAAATATATTTGTAAATATCTCTAAATATGATGAATTAAAGATATCTCTAAATGTATTATGACCAGTAAAAATTCAGAGATATCAATTACAATTGTTACTAGTCAAAATTCATCTGATTTCGTACTAGTACAATTGTAATTGCAGATATGTCTAATTGTCATTCTGAGTAGTGGAATTATAATTATGACTAGTCAAAATATAATTAGAGATATCTAATATATTTATGGAGTCAGAACAAAGATTTAAATGCTAAAAAGGCTTGCCATAGAGAGCGCTTCTCACTGAACAGAGCAGCGCGCAACCTTCTATGTAATGTATTATCACATGCACTAAAAGCATCCTAAAAGCATCAACACAGCCACATTCTGCCCCAGCAAGTCAGTTTCAAACATAAAAAAACAAACAAAAAAACAAACTTTGTGTCTTTTTTTGTGGCTGGCAGATGATAATAGCAGGGCTGTATCTTTTAGTATTATATAGAATACTTTTGTTCTGCCAGATCTCCCAGGCAGGGTTTTATTTAGATTTATTTAGTTAATATTAGTTTTTGGAATTCTGTCCATTGGAAAGAAGTTCTTTCAGAAGAAGAACAGTTTTTTGAAGTATTATTTGTTTTTATTCTGTCTATTCAGTGTCCTTCAACAAGAACGGTGGTGGTGGGGTTCATAATATTCACAATGGTATTTTATTAGTTGTTGGTTTAACCATGGATGAGATAATGGCTTCTATGTTATTTTCTTTTCAATGACATTTCTTGTCACATGTTCAAAAACAACAGCCAATATTGCATATCTAATTTATATAATGGGTATAATTAAACAATACTTTCACTATAACGTAAATTAGAAGTGTAATAGAAAAAATATATATTTTTGCGCCATTTTGAATTTTACTCGAATACAAATACAAATACAAATACTTTCCCCCCCTCAACAAATACAAATACAAATACAAATACCGACTGCTCCGCACATCCCTAATATATATATATATATATATATATATATATATATATACATACACTCTATACATATTTACACTTTTCACTCTATACATATGCGCACATGATACATTTTATACATATTCATATACACACATGATACAGACTATACATAATCACACTTGACACTCTATACATATACACATGGTACACTCCAAATATATACACACATGATACATTCTTCATATATGCACACAATACTTTTTTTACATATTCACACTCTATACATATACACACCTGATACATTCCATAATATACACACATATTTGATACACTCCTGTCAGGGTCATGAGAGCTGATTGATATTACCACTGAGCTATTGGAACAAACTTTGTATATGCACGCCTATACACACATGATACACTCCATACATATGTACACATAATACATTCCAAACATATTAACACTATTTAAATATGCATACATGATGATAAACCTTATACATATACACACACTTGACATTCTATACATACACACACATTACAATTTACACATATTCACACTCTTTACATATATATGATACAATCCTGCCAGGGTCTGGGATAGAACCCTGGTCTCTGGTGTGAGAGGTGATTGACAATACCACTGAGCTACTGGAACACACTTGGTACACATTATACATGTACATGTACACACATAATACACTCTATATATATATATATATATATATATATATATATATATATATATATATATATATATATATATATATATATATATATACACACACACACACTTGTCATTCTATACAGATGCACACATGATACATTTTATACATATACACACATATACACACTCTATACAAATACAGGACACCTTCCATACTTTTACACACGATACACTCTATATAAATTCACACTTTACTCTCATTACATATACACATCATACATGAAACACTCATATACACACAAGGTAAACTTTATACACTTCAGATATTCACACTTGACAATCTATACATATTCACACTTGACACTCTATACATGAGTACACATGATACTCCTGTCAGGGTCTGAGATAGAACCTGGGTCTCTTGACCCAGTTGAATGATACAGTATCTGCTTATACATACACACAACTTGCACATATACACATGAAACACTCCATACAAATGACAACTTCCATACTTATACACACATGATACTCTTCATACATATGCACACTTGACACTCTATACATACACGTCATACATACACACGAAACACTCTCATATAAACACAAGGTAAACTTTATACACTTAGTTTAGATATTCACAGTTGACACTCTATACATATTCACACAATACACTCTATACATATACACACATGATTCACTACAACCATATGCACACATGATACATGATACATATGCAATCTATACATATACACATTTGAAACACTCCATACAAATACAATTAATACACTCCATACATATACACATTATCATACATGATAAGCATACAAAGATACAGCTTATACATAAACACACAAGGTGCACTCTATACATATACACACTTGACATTTCATACATATTGACAGTTGACATTCTATACAAATACATACATTACACTTTACACATATTCACACACATATGATACAATCCTGTCAGGGTCTGGGATTGAACCCTGGTCTCTGGTGTGAGAGGTGATTGACATTACCACTGTGCTACTGACAACACCTCTCTTGAGTATGCGCGCTCAACCCCCCCCTCGGCGCTTTACAATACGCGCGCCACAACACAGCTGATCAGAACGCGCGCGACAGCACCGCTATTCAGCACGCGCGCGGCGACAACACCCGCTTTAGGTTCGATCATTTCCATCTTTTTTTCATCTCCGCTACTAGCAGCACACTCCATTTCCGCATTACTGGATCTGTAGCGACAACAGACCGCAAAGGATTATGGCCACGCCGGGGCTGATGGGAAATGAAGTTTCAGCTACCTCCCGTTCGCTTCATTCGCCTGAGCAAATTTTCTCAGAAGACCTATAGTTTTACCGAGTCATGCGACTTCGGTAATATCGAAAAAATTTAATATTGTGGTATGACGGTATTTACAATACCGTTACATCCCTAATATATTTATATATATATATATATATATATATATATATATACATACACACACACACACACACACACACACACACACACACACACACACACACACACACAAACACAAACATATTCACACTTGTCACTCTATACATATACACACATGATACACTTTATACACATACACACATGAAACACTCTATACATATGCACACACAAAACACTCCATGCTCATATACACATGAAACACTCTATACATATACACACATGACACCTTCCATACTTTTACACATATATGCACACTTGACAATCTATACATAAAATGCACTCCATACATGATACACTCTAAACTTATGCACACATAATACATTTTATAAACACATGGTACACCATCAACACTCTATACATATACACACAATTCACTTTATACATATTCACACTCTATACATACTGTATACACACACAATACACTTCATAAATATATATATAAACGCATAATACACTCCTGTCGGGGTATGGGATAGAACCCGGATTTCTGGCGTGAGAAATGATTGACATTACCACTGAGCTAGAGAGAACATAATACATTCTATACATATTCACACTTGACTCTGTATACATATACATACATGATACAGCTTATACACTAAGCTATTGGAAGTTGAACGATACAGTATCTGCTTATAAACTCTATACATACACACACCTTGCACATATACACATGAAACACCAAAACCATATGTACACATGAAACACTCCATACAAATACACATGACAACTTCCATACATTAACACACATGATACAAAATAAGATACAGGACACCTTCCAAACCTATACACACATGCAACACTCTATACAAATGCACACATGATGCACTCCATACATATGCACACAATACACTCTATACATGTACACTCCATATATACTCTCTATACATATTCACACTTGTCACTCTATAAATATACACAAATGATACACTCTATACATAATCATACTTGACACTCTATACATATACACACATGGTACACTCCAAATATATAGACACATGAAACACTCTATACATATGCACACACAAAACACTCCATACATATACACACAAAAACACTCTATACATATACACACATGACACCTTTCATACTTTTACACACTAGTTTATTTATATATATAGTTTGCATGTTCTACCCTGTGTTCGCATTGGTTTCCTCTGGGTGCTCAGGTTTCCCCCACTAGTCCACTGCGTAAGACATATGCTGGATAAGTTGGCGGTTCATTCCGCTGTGGTGACCCCAGATTAATAAAGAGACTAAGCCAAAATAAAATGAATGAATGAATGAACATTTACATAATGTCTTTGATAGAAAACACAATTTAATGTAATATAGAGTAGGCTACTTTGCAAAAATCTTATGCAACCATTGGTGTTTTTGATATGTAAGACCATTTAATTTGTTTACTCCAGTCCACTCTGTTATATCGGTGCTATAGAATATTTATTTAGAGAGCATTTACAATATACTCTTTTAGATTTACGTTTACCCCAATCAATGTCCTGTATTTATTTCCGAAGATCGCCCTCTAGAGGCACTTTAAAGCAATAATGCAACAACATCCTTTGCGGAACTAACAAGTACACATTGTTTCCTACGGACTTTTTATTTTCGTGGACACCTTTTTTGACAGCAGAGTAAGCACGTGAGTGTAAAAGCGTCAATGTTTACAGTAAAGTCATCATTAGAAAAGCTGCAGGCAGATTGGTGTTGAAGTTATGCATTTACATTTGTTGTTAAACTTTTATGAAAACTTAATGGTCTTGGAAATGCAATATCTGTTATCTCTTACTAAGAAGTTCTCATGAGTGTATTATATATACTTTGTTATGTCTAACTGGTCAGTGTAATGAACTGCACCATGTGTGTTTCGTTTCAGTTGCTTCAGTGAATGGATTGTATTTGTTTCATTGCGTTGATATTGAATACGTTTTGTGTTTGCTTAGTTAACCATGATACCCGTGGCGTCTGGACTCTACATCGGGTCAGTGTCTGATCTGAAGGATGCTGAGAGTCTGTCAGCTGCAGGTATAACACACATTCTGACTGTAGACTCAGAGGAAGCTTCTGTCACTGGATTCAACACCAAATTCATCCGAGCTCTGGATGATGAGTCCACAGACCTGCTGAGCAGACTAGATGACTGTACCAGCTTTATTTCTGAAGCCCTTAGCACACAAGCTGACTCCAAATCAGCAGCAGTTCTTGTGCATTGGTAGGTTTCATAGTTTGTTTGCTAAGTTTGTTGAATAAAAAACGTAACGGCATACACATACTTAAAAGGTAATTCAATAATACGTGATCCTAGACATTGAGGTAAAGTTTATGTTCACACATTCAGACTTTCTCTTTCATTTAAGTATTCTTTGCAAATATTAAATAGGGAAATCATATTATCAGACATCAAATATCAAAGTACAACAATGTTTACAGTCAAGTAAAAAGTGCTAATTTTGCTTTCGAATCATACTTGCATATGATTTCAGACCGAATATTCAAAGTAGCGTGGTAAACAATATAGGGACCATGTCACAAGTTATCACTGTCCAAATATGAACAAATGTGGGAATAAAAACTAATTTTACCTAGACCTCAAATTACTTCATAAGTGTCAATTGTTTTACAAGTGGGATTTATACATTTATACACTGAATAAATAAGTTTCAAGTGATTTAAGGTTTGTTAAATGAGATGATATTTGGTGAAGATACAACTATTTAAAAATCTGGAATTTCAAGTTTAAAAAATTAAAAAATTGAAAAAATTGGGCTTAAAGTTCAAATTAACTTCTTAGCTTACTTATAAAAAACTCAGTTTTGATGTATTTACAATAGGAAATTTACAGGATATATTCAAGGAACATGATCTTTACTTAATATTCCAATGATTTATGGCTTATAAGAAAAATCTTTTATTTTGGCTATTGCTAAAATATTCTTGTGAAACTGGTTTTTGGTTGTTGCTAGAAGGATTACACCTCCGGCTAACAGGAATTATTTTTGTTATTTATTAAATTACTCATAAAGTTTTTTTTTATTATTTTTATTTTTTTTATTAACGTCTACCCCAAGTTTAAACCTACTCCTCACAGAAACATACAAGATGGAGTATACAGGGTGATAAATCGGACATTCTACTAGAAGCATAGATTTTAACTTATAAAAAATGTGACAGGGCCTTACCTTTAAGCTTGTCTTCCTCAAAAAATGTGAGTGTACAAGCATTAAATCATTTCTATCAATGATAGAAAGCATCCTTGATCACCGTCAGCTTCTCCTCCACCAAATGATGTCACTTGCTTTGAGTCATAGCCTTAAATGTGTATTGAATTTTATGTTAAATGAACTGCAAATGTGACAGGACTGACTGAAGCATGGGGAAAATTTTAAATCTATTTGTAGTATTTATTTGTAGAATTTATTTATCATTTCATGTTGTTACTCAAGAGATTTGTTTTTCTAAATAACACAACTATTAAAGCTGTAGGTTTGATTGGGCTGAGGACAAAGACAATGACAGGGTTTGTACATTTGTACATTGTACATTCGTAAAGTTTTTTAATAAAGAAAAAAAAATCTGAGAACAAATCAATGACATATTCCTTTACAGAACAACTCACAGAAGTCAACCATCAGTCCATTTTAGAAATTTTTGGGACAAAATACTTTTTTTTCACTGTATTTATGTTTTTATTTATTTATTTCAGGGACAGATAATGTAAGTTTCTGGTAGAAGGTCCCATATACAGTTGTGGAAAAAATGAGAATCTACTTGAAACTTGAAGTTCTCTAATTTGTTTTACTTTTATAAGTTTAAAATAAAAGTGTCATTTTGAGCAATTTTGTGATACATTTGATTAGGCATAAACAGAAGTACTGTTTTTTAGAGAACCAACCAAAATTAAACAACATTATGCTTTTAACTAGAGCAACCGTAAGGGAGATATGAAAGCTAGTTTTCTGTTTTTATTGTATCAATACTCTTGTATCGCTATTTTATTGCAGCAATTTTTCTGATACCTTTTGGTAGATATTTATTCTTGTTTAATCATTAACTTACATCAATTATAATTAAATCATATTTTTTTGTATTCTGTGAACTGTTGTGTAAAAAAAACAACAACCAAACAAACTATTAATAATAATTAAAATAATTATTCAACAATTATACCATTTTTTTTCAAAAGTTCCAATTTCAGAGGAGTTCATGAATCAATATTTAGTGAAATATCTCTAAGTTTGAATCACTATAAGTGGAAACATTTGTCGTTCTGACCAGTTTTCATTTTCGGAATACATACAGTAAAATTAAATAAGTACAGTATGCTCTAAATGGTTGTATTTTTTTATTGGAAATTTACAAAAATGTTGTCAAATCTTTATAAAATATATTAAAACATATAAAGACTTAAAGACTAAATTCCTTTTTCTCTCTCTTTTTTGTAGCCATGTGGGGCAAAGCAGAAGTGCTGCAGTGGTGACTGCTTACCTGATGAAAACACAGCACCTGACCTTACAGGAAGCATATTCTAAACTGCAAAACATAAAACCAGATGTCAAGTGAGTGTACTTCATTGTTGTGTCTGTAACTAAACATTTATGAAAAGAGGTGTTACTTAGGATCATTCCTAACTTTTTCCCAGAATGAATGAAGAGTTTCTGGATCAGCTGGCACTTTATGAATTGATGGACTGTAAAGTGGACACCACAAGTCCTGTTTACAAACAGTTTAGGCTGAAAAAGATTACAGAGAAATATCCAGGTATGTTCATTCTTATTGAAACTTCTTTGATAAACAGTATGTGACTTCATTATACTTTCTTATGCTGTAAAGTGTTTTAATGATATGTCATCAGTGAACCATTTTGGAGAACAAAATGTAAACAATGGCACTGAACTGAATGAAGCTAGCATGTTGAATGCTGAAAATAGATCAATTATTGTCATGTTTTGGCAATTATGAATCAGTACTAAAGTCTGGCAATAGTTATTACAAATAAAGTATATTATAGCCTATTAAAATCACGGAGCCAAAATATTACACCTTCTAAGTCCTTGATTTAGCAGTTTCCACAATGGTTAAGACAGCATTAATAAGCAGAATACCATAATTAGTTGTAGATTACCATGCAATCCATGCTGTTGTTTACATCTGAGTATTTCCAAAGTGGCTGCGCATTTATAGTAAGTAACTGACAAAATTGTGACATGATTATTACACAAATGAAATGTATTTTGATTACATCAGAGCTCCAGAATGTGCCAAAAGATGTATTTGCTGTTGACCCTGCACAAACCCAGAATGCAGAAGCTGTATACAGATGTAGAAAGTGCAGGTAAAAGATTTTTATTTTAAGATCATTTTTTTATTGTATGAATTCAAGTCTTCGTACTTGAGGCCAAAGAAATTGGATATTAGAAATTAGTTATTAAAACTATTATGTTTAAAAATGTTGTTATGTTTAAAAAAAGTCTCCTATTTAAAGCAAGACTTGAGAAATATATAAAAAATAATGTATATTTCGAAAAGGGCTGATCATTTTGTCTTCAACTGTATGTGCTGCATTATTATCATTTGACCTAACCTGTTTGTAATGTCTAAGTAATATTTGTTTAAATAGAGCTGTTTTGAAACACACATGCAATTTAACATGTTAAAATTTTGATATTTTACCATCAAAATGTTGATAATAAAACTGCTTTATTGGCAACATCTATTTCAATGTGGTTTATCATTAAATTTGATTTTTTTAATGTTTAGTTTATTTTTCTGCAAATCTTAATTTGAATGTTTTGGTCAATACAAAAAATACATTGAAGTTAAATTTAAGTAAAAAAAGGTTTATTAGGTTTTTGTATTGGATGAAGGCTTATTAAGATTTTGTGCAGATTTCTTTACTATTTTATCACTACTTTATACTGTTATATAATATGGAAATATTTTGTATTTCCCACCTGCTGAACTAATTTATATTTATGTGTTTTTGAGATGATTTTATCCAAAGTTAGGGACAAAGCAATTCATCAAAGAGCCAACGACTCTTATTGTACACAAAAACTAAGATGCCAACCAAAATACCAATGCAACTTGCTGTTGTCTTTGTTCTCCTAGACGCACACTTTTCCGACACTCCAGCATTCTCAGTCACTGTGTGGGAAGTGGAGCGTCTGCCTTCTCTCATAAGAAGACACGGATTGTGAGCTCTTCAGCTGAAGATGAGACACAGTGCACTTCCTATTTTATAGAGCCGGTGCAGTGGATGGAGCAGGCTTTACTAGGGGTCATGGATGGACAGGTAAGAAGAAGATCACAATTACAGAAATTAAAACACAATTAATAAGAAAGATTTAAACACTCTTCCTTTCTAAACATTTATTTAAAACTCCAAAATATATTATTTGATTATAGTGTATTAAATGCTTTAAGATTAAAATTTTTATCATTTTTAATACCAGATTTTTTTGTTTTATTTTATCATTTCAAGCTACTGCAGGTGAAATGTTTAAAAATACTATCACCATTCTTCAGCTGAATGAGTACATTAAGATTTGCAAAAAAACTGTTACAAGTTTTCAAACATGTTAAGTTTACATATAATTATAAGACATTATTTAGATAAATATTTGCTAATTTGCATACCTTTATAATAGAGAAATCAGATTTTTTTTGATATTACAGTATCACAATAATACATATCTTTTTTTATTAATCCATAACTCAGAAGAAACTGACAACCGCTTGAAAATAATTCAGTTTCTAGTACAGGTTATAAGTTATATATAAGCATATGCAAATAAGAGATTTGTGTCTCATTTTGAAAAACAAAACAGAAAAACTCGCTGAGATTATAGCCTTGAAAAAAATGTCTATAATGATGGAAATCTACAGACATAAATTGCTAAAATATTATGAATTAAATGTTTAAAAGTGTATTTTGGACCTATTTTCTTACCCTTGGGCTAAAAAAAATATATTAAAAAGCTAAAAAGCAGTTTTTGCTTTTTGTAATATCTCGCCTTATATATAAAAAAGATTGCAGGATTTTGTATGAGTCTAGAGATTGTAATGGCGGTTTAATAAAGGTCAATGCATTTAGTGTGTTTTTGATATTTCGTAGTAAAACCTTTTTGTAAAATCTCTCTTGTAGCTTCTGTGTCCCAAGTGCAGCTCAAAGCTGGGCTCCTTTAACTGGTATGGTGAACAGTGTTCGTGTGGCCGCTGGGTCACACCGGCCTTCCAGATGCACAAGAACAGAGTGGACGAAATCAAACACATCAGTATATCTGCACTCAAATGACCTCCAATAAACTTCTGTATCATATGCACAAAAATTGTTTTTATTTTTAGTGTTTTGAGTTAAATAATACACAACTTTTTGTATGGCATAAATTATAAGCTATATACATATATAACTATATGATAAGGAACATTTGATTTGGTTACTAGTTGTTGTTAGTAAAATGTAGACATTTGACATTTCCCCCAGTTTTTGCTCAAGATGCGAATTTTAACCAGATCCCACATGGCAAGACAAAAACTGATTTTTTTTTCGTCATGTTATTGTTTTGTGGAATGAGAAATTCACTGAAATATCACAGTAACAGAGTTGACAAATAATGAATCTACTATTAGTGTATCCTCAAGTTTGTAAAAATTGATTAAAGTATAAATGACCTGCCTCAGTGCCTTCACTTGGAGTAAGTCACTTGGTTTTTCTACTAGTGCTTTACAGATTGTTCTGCCTTTTATCGCTGAAATTAAAATAATACAGAGAATAGATGTTTCATATGCAACAGTTTAATAAACATAGTTATTGCACATACAAGATGAAAATTAGGCTTAATCATTTCCTGATAATTGAAGCTGAATGTGTAATTCAGGAGGCAGAAAAAGTAAAAAAATAGATAAAGTAGTCTTTAATATTTTTAACATAAAAAATAGTATTTAAATAATTTTAAATATTATAAATAAAAGACAAAATGGCCCTAAGTTTACATACAAGTGTAAATTGTTAGAAATAACATGAAATAAGTTGTTATTATTCAAAACTAATTAACTTTTATTTTATTTAGTTTTATTTAGAAAAATAATAGAAGATTATATATAATATAATTATATAAATAATTATATAAATATAATCATTTTAATTTGTAAATTATTCCTGTGATGGCAAAGCTGTTTGTTTACTCCAGTCTGTCACATGATCCTCCAGAAGTCATTCATAATATGCTGATTTTGTGCAGCAAAAATAAAATAAAATAAAAACCTATGTTATCACTTATTTTGAAAGTTATTAATTTTCTGCTAAATTTGAAACATTATAATTCTTTGATGATTTTAACGTTTAAACATAAAAATAAATATTAAATATATATAGACAGACAAAACAAAAAAAAAACCTCTTAATGTCCCAAACTTTTGTAATGGGTTTATATATTCTGGTTTTATTTACCTTGTTTTGTCTCTTCCATAAATGAGTATGGTTTATTTAAATTAACCTCTGCATTTTTCAAATAAATATTACCAGTCTCATCAAAGAGCTTACATGTACATTTCTTTCCATCCAATAGGAGGCGACAAATAACTATCACTGTCAATTGATTAGACTAAAATGTTAGTCATAGTCAAAATGGTGAAGAATAAGGATAAAGTAGCATCCGTTCATGTTTACACTACCATTATAGATGACAAGTAACAAAAAGTGAGACCATATGGAAAAGAAAAACAGTACTAGTTGTCGATAACTATTCAAAATGGGTAGAATTCTTAAGATACTACATTTACTTATAGTGGTGCCACACAACATTTGTTCATAAGTTGGACATGATGTACACTGGTAATGATGCAGTTTCCTCTTGGCCTCCAGCTCAGAGATGTTTCTATGGTCTATTTATTGCACGGGCCTGAGAGAGACGCTGTGTGGTTATGGCATTGAGTTGTGAGATCCTGTTGTGTTTATGAGGGTCATCTTCTTCATGTAATAGCCTGAACTCTCTCTGTGAAGTGTGAAGAAATGAAGAGCTGCCTGCTGTTCATGTACACCGAAGAGAAACACTCATTTAAGAGTTTGGGCTAGATTTAGGGTGATATGAAAGTCCTTAAAATGAAGTTTTATAGTACAATAATGGCAAGCCATTTTAACATGGAATCTTTAAAACATACTGGTGTCTGTTTTCATGCAACTGGGGTCTCATTTCATAAGTTATATAATCAAAAGTTGAGAAACGTCTGATCTATAAAAAACAAACTTGACAGGAGAATGCGCTCAGCTGTAAGTAAACATTTCACTTTTAGGAAGGTATTTGATAAATCGGAACCCTGTTTTTTGTAAGAGGTACTTCTTGATTAAATATTAATTCATATTATTCCCATACATACAGTTGAAGTCAGAATTATTAGCCACCCTTTGATTTTTTTTTTATATATTTCCTAACTTTTGTTTAACAGAGCAAGGAACTTTTCACAGTATGTCTGATAATATGTTTTCTATTAGAGAAAGTCTTTTTTGTTTTATTCTGGCTAGAATCAAAGCCCAAACCATTTGAAAATCAATTTTAAGGTCAAAATTATCAGTCCCTTTAAGCTGTATATATTTTTCGATAGTCTACAGAACAAACCATCGTTATACAATAACTTGCCTAATTACCCTAACCTGCCTAGTTAACCTTATTAACCTAGATAGGGCTTTAAATGTCACTTTAAGCTGTATAGAAGTGTCTTGAAAAATCAAGTAAAATATTATTTACTGTCATCATGGCAAAGATAAAATAAACCAGTTATTAGAAATGAGTTATTAAAACCATTATATTTATAAATGTGTAGAAAAAAATTGTTGCTCCATAAAACAAAAATTGGGGAAGAAATAAACATAAGGTTAATAATTTAGGGGGGCTAATTCTGACTTCAACTGTATATTTTAGAGGTATAAGTAATACGTTCGGAGGTTCATTCCACTTTGGTGACCACAGATAAATAAAGGGACTAACCTGAAAAGAAAATGAATGAAATGGAGTAAGTTATAACAACTAGTATTTTGTAAAAAGTAAAACACATTTGGAAGGCATAGCTACATTGAAAACAAAAATCATTATTACAAATGTCTTTTATTATTTGCAACAATGTAGCAGTGATTCTTATAAATGGCTCTCACAGCTAGTTTGTACAGTATCTCTTTCGAATGACTTTAAAAAAAAGCTAGCAACAAAACTAAACAACTGTTCCATACACATAAAATAAAGGAAACTCTGAGAAATAGAGGCACATTTTCTTTCTCTTCATTCACAAATAATCAGTGGCAGTAATAGTTTAGGTTAAACTGTTTTTTTTTTTTCAAACAGCATGTTTTCTCATTTCCAGATGCATGGTTTGTCTGCAAAACTTTTATTTGCACTAACTACTCTTGAAAGGAAAGAATAAACAAACTATTGTGTATTTTAGGCCAAATTGCTACTACTGGAAAGGTTAAGACCGTCACAGTAAATTGGTTGATTACAGCCTTAAGCAAGTCTCCGAACCAATCAGATGTCTAGCTTCTTCATACCTCTATCCCAGCTCTAACCAAGACCATAACTCCTCCATCTAAATGGAGTGGGTTGACTAAGTGCACTTTCTTGTTGAGAGCTCAGTCTATTTCATATTGGCAACTCCTGTCAAAACTAAAAACTACATTAATATTTAATGTGCACGCAATGCAAATACATGGCAAGCCGTTTAAGCATTAAATTTGAAACTTTTTTAGATACTATTTTAGACCATTTGGCAACCCATTTGATTGAGATGAATACTTTTTTTTTCATGTATCATAACCAATCAGAACTGCACAGTACCAATACAAAACTACATTTGAACAATATACAGTGCTCAGTATAGGTGAGTACACCCCATTTTTATTCATTGCTCAGTGAATATAGAAAATGTCTTTTGTTGCATTTGAACAAAACAGATTTATTAAATGAATATATTTATTAAAATAATATTTTAGTCACCAAACATCTTTAAAAATAGAAAGAATACATTTAATATTGGAAAGAAAAATTACAAACTACAAAATTTCAACACAATTTTACACATTTTTATTTTTGTTGCTCTTTTAAAAATTATTATTTATTTTTTTGCCCTAATATAAATTTGGGATACTAATTTTGGACAGTTTATATGTTATTTAGTTATATTAGCTTCAGTTTCAACTTCGATACTGACTAATGTATATACACCAATATAACATTGTAAAGCTTCCTACAGAAAATACATATTTAATTGAGATATTTGTGAGGGGTGCACTCATATATGTTGAGCACTGTACATATGCAATTCAAGATACACTGCTTTGGAACAGCATTCTGATTAAAATAAAAAGCAAACATATTTAAACATATTTTAAAGAGTGTTAAAGAAGTGGTTCAAACTAATTCCGGTTTGTGAAAACCGATTGTCATGCAGTTTCTTTTTAAAAATTATTATATACAGTGTGAGAAAGTGTTTGCCCCCTTACTGATTATTTTTTGCAAGTTTGTCACACTGTATTGTTTCAGATCATCAAACAAATGTAAATATTAGTCAAAGAAAACACAAGTAAACGCGTCATGCAGTTTTTTTAATGAAGGTTTTTTTATTATTAAAGGACTACATTGCTCTGTGTAAAAAGAATTTCCCCCCCTGAAATTAAGACTTTGGAGTGGCTTAGTCAAAGTCCTGATCTAAATTCAATTGAGATGCTTTGGCATGACCTTAAAAATGAAGTTCATGAATGAAAACTCTTTCAGTGTGGCTGAATTACAACAATTCTTCAAACATGAGTGGAACAAAATTTCTCCACAGCGCTGTAAGAGACTTAAGCTTTTAATTTTTTTTCTTAGTCATTAAAATGATGAACAATCAAGTATTTACCATTTTTAGATAGTAACACAAGCAGTAGATAGTTTCCCTGCAATTTCCTGCAGATAGATGTAAGTGACTGCATATGCATCACAGCAGTAGTAAACCACACATTTTTTGGATCAGATGTTGAGCACATGGATGCGGGAGCACAAGCTCTGAACCCATTGCATTATACAAAATATGTATATATATGAACTGGGGAATTGATATATATATATATATATATATATATATATATATAAAATTCCTTTTTATAATGTTCTTACTGTATGTCCTGCTCATGATTTAGCTTCAATAAAGGATTAATTCATCCAAAAATTTTAATTTTGATATTAAATACTCACTCTTATGTCTTAAAAATAAGATGACTTTTTTAAAGGGTTCACTGAAGTCACAAGTCTAACCCAAAATGAGCCAGTAAAGGAAATCTATATCCATAGGTCAGTTTTGAATGGTCAGTTGGGTCCAGGTCAGGTTTGCTTTATCACATTCCCATGGTCTCTTTAAAAAAGTGTGTTATAGTCGATCTAAGAAAACCAACTCTGATTAAGCGCTGATGATGATAGTCATAGAAGTGTTTTTTTTTTTTGTGTCTTCTAAATCACATTAATGTAAAATTTGGATGATAATTTGTCAACCAGGGAATATCATATTGCAATATCGATGTGTGGCTTCCAGTGTGTTCTTTGTTTTGGAGAAAAAAACAAATAGCAAAACATTTATATGGGTAAAATCTGTTGTTTTTATATGTTTATATGTCGGCTGGCATTTATCAGCTAAAAGCTCTCAAAATCTGTTTGGTGAAATTTTCTGGCTCTCATGGGCTATTAAAGATATACTGTTGGAGAAATCAATAGTCAAACATATTAAATGTTTCGTATTTACAATCTGGTATCAGAGAGAATCCAACTTGAATGGCAGCAAATGTATAATGACAATGTCTGGCTAAATTATGGACAGTTCATTGTTTTTAATCTTCTGTTAAGTACAAATGAAGATATGCAAATATATAAAGATATATAAATAGATGTATAAACATAAATTTTATATATGTAATAAATGTTATTTTTGTTCCCACTATGGATGTCAAGGGCTGCCCTTTTCTAACCTTCTTCAGAATATCTTGTTTAGTGAAGATACAGATTCATAGAAGTTTAGAACCACTTGAGTGTGAGTAAATGGTGAGGATTTTTCATTGAACCATTCTTTTAAAACCTTAAAATGTGTGACCAACCTGAGACTATATGTGACAATGCTGTTTGTGGTTTATTTAAGTAAACAGCAATATGTAACCTGCAGAGTTTGCATATCTGTGCCCTTGGTGTTAGGTTTATTTACATAGTTTATTATAGTATAGCCTTACGCTGCTTCATAGTTTTAAAAAGAACTGTTTGATCTTTAATGGCGGATGTGGTCAGTGGAAAAACCATCAGATCCCTCTGTCTATGCTCAATAAATTTACAGCATCTTACTCTTTGAAACCCAGATTTGTTGCTGTGGTTAATGGTGAGGTAGCCCTGAAGTAAATCTCTCTTCCAAAGGAAGGATCATGAATTCAATTTGGCTCTGTGGCCGTGACATTTCTATTGGTTTATTCAGTCTTTGTGCATGTTACTGGCTGCAGAGTATTAATAACAGATTCATTTATCAAATCATTTTA